CCCCTGCAGCCGCAGCCAATAATTTAGCAAGGAAGTGAGTTATTTTTTTTTTTCCCCCCATGCTATAAGTAAGGGGTAGGGGACAAACACCCCCCTTGCTGCAAGAGAGCATCAGCCATGCGGCCAGGACTCCTGTGCCACTGCCCCCCAGGCCCGGGAGCGGCCGAGGGGACAGGGCAGAGCTACTGGGCTCGTGGCGGAGGCGAGGACCTACGCTGGGACAGGCAGTGGGTTAGAGGGAGGGAGGGGTGAACGGGCGGGGCTGCCGCTCTCTTAGAGAGTGACGGGAGATGTGCGGGAGGGCAAACTGAAACTGGGGCAAAGTAGCAAAAAGCATGAAGTAGGGAAAAAGGGAAAAGGAAAAGCTGAGTGGCTGGGGAGAAGCAGCAAGGCAGGAGGTCAGATGCTGGGCAGTGGAGTGTGCTCTTACGTTTTCTTTTAATGCCAGTTCCTTTTTCTCTCTTTCTTTTGGTTGAAGGAAAGTGCTTCTGAATTAGTGATAGAAAGACGCCTCTGAAAGCAAGATGCAAAATTTATTCTAGCTACCAGGAGTAGGAACATCTGCCGGTTATCACGCTGCAACACGCACTGAGATAGCACCACATTTCACTCAGGAGGGGTAAATCCTGCACCGCAACCTCCAGCGTGCCTCTCTGCAACGAGCGTGCTCCACCAGCGGATCCTCGGCCACGAGGCGGGCGTGCCGAGGGAAGCCACGCACGGCAGCGCCGGGAAGAACACCCCCTGCTCCCTCGCGCAGGGAGACGCCGCAAGAGAAGCGGAGCAGACCCTGGGCCCTGCGCTACCGCGAGGCACGCCAAAGCTGTGAGACGTTTATACAGCAACTGAGAGGGAGTTCTAAACGGGAAACGCTGTACTGGGAAGCTCTGGCATCACTGCTGAAAAATCCAGAAAGTCCCAGTGTCCCAGCCCCTCGCCAGGCTCCGAGAGCAGGGACCACCGTCAGGTGGGACAGCAGGTCCTCTGAGGAACCCGTGGGACAGAGCTAAGTACAAAACACGGGCACGCGGTGGTTTCAGGTGAATGGAAAAAACCCGTGGAAGAGGGGGAAAACAAACGTTTCTGTGGGCTGTTCCGCAAGCACAAGAGGAAATGTTCCAATGCTGATCGTGTTGGGCAATGAGAAGGCGGCGCTGAACGAGCTCTGGGTGGGGAAAAAACCCCAAAACGTTGGAAGTGACAGCAGAGATGTGGACGCAACAGCGCACCTGGGTGTGAAAAAGGGGGTCTTGGGAACCAGGGAGGGAGCTCCGAGACCCCTGGTGCGAGGGGCTGAAGGAGCAGAGGCAGCACCGCTCCCCAGGTGACGGCAGTTGCACCCGGAGGGGCCCTTCTGTCCCCGTGCTGGGGTGACCCTGGCCTCAAAATGCAGAGACTCCCCCTGTGGGCCCTGGACCCTCCCTGCCACGAAGCCTTGTTCATTTTCCCGGCACTCGCCCTTCCCTGCAAACAAAGGGTTGGGCTGGTATTCACTCCCTGAACAATCTGTTTATTTTTAACCCCGTTTCTCGGCATCTTTCAAACAACAGCTCCTTTCCAGCACACTCCCCTCGAGAAATCCCCTAAAGTGCTGTAAAATCAGGACGCCACATTGAGAGGCTCAGCAGATGCCAGAAGACACTCGCTTATCTGGCCAGTGCTGCTGAACAAAGAGCTCTTGCCTCTGGAACCGGGGCAGAGCTGAGCAGCGTGCGTGACCACTAAGAGAGCCTTCCTCCTCCTCCAACAGCTGAGCAAGGCTCAAAGGGACCATGTCGTCCTCCAGCCTCAATTCTAGAACGCGAAAACCAATCTAAGAGGCCAAATCAATCCAAGCACTCGTCACACTTGCCTCGCACGCTGGTCCTGCCCGTTTACGTGCTGAAAGGCAACGCTGGCAAGGGGAAACTCCTCGGACCACTCCTGCCCCACGCTGTGATCCCAGCCTCCCGCGTTACACGAGATTCTCCTGCTCATTTCTTCAGCATCAACAGCCCAGTTCTCCCACACAAACCACACCTGAGCTCACCATTTCTGGCCCTCCTACACCTGCCAACTCTTCTGCGCAGGCCGAGTCAGCTCAGGCTGTTTGTGGAAGTTTGGACCACAGGAGATTTAAAAGTCCAGGGCGCAGCTCACAGAGTCACAGGGAGGAAGCAGCGCTCGAGGACCCAGCTGAGTGTCCTCTCCAGCTGCCGCTTGTTTAGGGCGAGGAGTTATGAAACCGCACCTCAAGAGCTGCGGGGGATGAGCGGCCCCAGGGCAAGGCTTTCCCAAGCACACCTCCAGCCTGCCCTGCGTCCCACCAGGAGAAAAGCAGGCGTTTTTAACTTACTCTGCAGCAGAGACAAAACAATTTAGGTGCCCATCGTTCTCGTCCAGGACCTCTCTGGTGCGAGCCTCCCCGGTGGACTGCAGGCCGATGACAACGCACTGCAGGGAAACACAAAGGAGGGACAGTGAGGCGTGAGGGAGGGAATCCGGCATCAGGACAAACAGCTCCAGGGCTCAGAGGTTTTATTTCATGGTGCCAGGTATATTCCCCTTGGACCCTGTCCCAAACACGTGCTGGGGCTCTGGCAGGGCTCCTCAGGAACCACGTCTCAAGTCTTTCAAAAAGGCAAACCTCTGCCCACCCCCTAGAGAGGACCACACCGATGACAGGAGCTAACGGGCTGTGCGAGGCAGGTCCTGCCTGAGATGTCATAGTTGTACCCAGAAGGATGAAAAGACAGAGCCGTGCTCGAGCTGAAGGATCTGGTACCTCCTCTAGCTTGAACACGACCCACAACACCCGTTCGGATCAGCTTGCCCACATCTACCCCAAACCAGCAGTGGGCACTGCTTCAGGAGGCAGGGACACGCCTGTGAGTGTTCTCAGACACCCGCACACCACGCTGCCTCTGGTTAACCTGGGGAGGAGTCCAGCCTTCAAGAGGTTTGAAATCGCTTCCCAGTCAAGCTGAACAATAATTGCAGCTCTTTGGCTGCAGACTACAAAAACCCCACTTGTCACGTAAGGCAGACGGCTGCTGCCAGCTCCGACACCACACCTTGTCCTTGGCCAGCTCCTCCTTGGCCAGCTCGACGAGTCGCTGGACTTTAGCAGCAATGCAGAGATACTTGAAGAAGCGCTGGTGGGCTGACCAGAACTGACCCCACAAGGACTTCCGAGACTCCAGGCCGATCCAGTCGGCTGCCCGCTGGAACACCGTCAAGGCCTCTGCCCACTGCAGACGACACCGAGAGAACCCGAGTTATTATCTTAGTTTTCACTTCCATCACTGCTGTGCGGGAGGTTATTGGAGCAGTCTGGGCTTTGATGATCTGATTTAATGTCAGTATTTATGTTCCTGTGTTAGGCTGTGTCTGGTCACTCTCTCTGCAGCAGCATGATATTGCAAGCTCTGGTTTGCAAATATGGAACTTTTAAATAAAGGTAAAAAACTTCTAAGATTTTTTTTTTTAACATGAACTGAGCAGGCTCTTACGAAGAAACCAAGTTTGTGGTCCTGGCTACATTCAAGCTCCTCAAGTCCTCCCACACGCCGAGCAGCCTTGCCCAAAGCGTGGTTACACACCGGCCCCCACTGCGGCTTTTTTCGGCTTTGTCGTAGACAATCTTGTACTGCTGATCCAGCGGGATCTCCTCGATTCTGAAGGTCACTCCCGTGAAACTGAGCTGCCTGGCGATGTACATCCCGCTGACCTTCATGTCCATTGCGACGATCTCCATCGCACCAACTCCCCTGGGAGAAGAAGAGAGCTGTGACACCCCTTCCCTGCTGCAGGGCAGCGCCGGGTCGGAGGCTCTGCAGAGCCTCCCCTGGTCCGAGCTGCCCTCAGGCGCCGTCCTCGGGCGCTGCGCTCATTTTGCAAACAAAAGCGGCAGCAAAAGAGGTTGGGCAGGACTTACCTCTTCTCGATTGCGTGCAGGAACTCCTCAAACACTTTGAAAGGGGTGCCCTCTCCCCAGATCCCCAGGCGGCTCATGTAGATCATGTTTTTTGGCTCAGAGGCACCTGTTTGAACGGAACCGACTGTTGGCAAAGCCACGGCAGTTGTGAATAGCCCTGACTCAAAGTGAACCCTTCGAGGGGGCAGTCATTTGCCACTGTGCCTCGGTGGAGCCCACGGCCTCTCCAAACGCTGACCTCCACATGCCAACCATCACCACACGGCTCAAGAGCTGGCCAGGAACAGGTTAAATCAAGGAGAAACGAGTCCGGCTTGCCAAAATGTTGTGAGGAATGGCAGTGACGGGGCTTGGGGCAGATCTTAGCACCCTGGGCTCCGCTCTGGCACTGCAGCACCGTTCACCCCTTCTTGCAGGAAGGCGTACCCTCGGTGTGGGTGCTCACAGCTCGAGGGCACCCCTCCAATCGCAGCGGCTCCCCCCGATGCGAGAGGAGCTTACCTGTGGCACTGGCATAAACAACCCTCGCTCCAGGCAGCCGTTTCTGAAGCTCCAGCACTGCTTTGCCCATTTTAGTAGAGCTGGCGTTTTTGGCTTTGTGGCATTCGTCAAACACAATCTGGAGGGGAACGTCAGTTAAGGGGAAAGGATCTATTTTCATCCCAAGGACAGGAGCAGACAGAAAATACAACCCAGCCTCCTCCAGCCAAGTGAACAAGCAGTCCCACCATCAACAGGACTGACAACCTGTTGGTTTTGCAGTTTCCTGGGCTCCCCAGCGCCTGGGGTCATTTCCCCCTCCCTGTCCCCTCACTTCCAAGGTGTGTCTTATCTTGTACCACTGAGGGAGAGGAATGCTGAACAGGTTAATCCCAGCTGCATTCTTCCCCTCCTCCCATTAGGAGTGCAGCCTTTGGAGGAGGAGTGGGGGCATGTGTGTGCTTACAGCATCTAAATATCTACGGCACAGCTGCTCCCACCGCTTCAGATGGCCCCAAGCTCTCTGCTCCTCCATGAAGAACAATCACAAGCCTGCAATCCTCCTCTCTCTCCGTTTTTTTGTGTTGTTGGTTTTTTTTAAAGGATACAACTCCATCAAAGTTTTCCCTGCACCAGTCCAAAATCTGTTTTAAGCGTGTCCTGTGCTGCCCGCCTGCCTGGCTTTCACCGATCAGCGCAGAGTAAGTGGCAAAGAGGACTCCTTCTGAGGTAGCTGTGTCACCATATTTAATCTGCAGAAAGGTGAACAAGAGCACACACGGTCAGGATGCCTGTCCCTGGTACGTCGTGCCCACAACCAGTATCACCAACCGCGCCGCGAGCGTGCAGGGGACACGCTCCTGCCTTAAGAGGCAGGACAGACAAAAGACTCCTGGTGGCCGATGTCTCCCGTGCTTCTATCTGGCACCGAGATGCAGTGATGACAGGGACTTCAAACATCTGGACCAGCTCCACCAGCCAATGTGTCAGCACATCTGGCTGCACGCAGGGAAACGTGGAGACCACACCAGGACTTCAGTTCTCTGGCCAGCTGAAGTCACTTCAGTTTTTTGAAGCCACAGTTTAGAATGTTTAATTGTTTTGGACTCTCCAATCTGTTTTAATTATTTCCACAAAATAATTCTATCTTTGGCCAGATGGGAATTGTTGCCTATTTTACTGTCAAGGGTCCCACCTGTAATGAAATGAAAGGTGGGGGCAGAAACCCACGGTCCCAATTTGAAGAAAATTCCATTCAAAGCCTTTCTGATCTGGAAACAAGCACCCCTTTCAGTCTCTTACTGGAGTGCATTCAGAGGTGTCAAACACATGTGGTTTCCAGAGACTTTGTAAGAGCTGCTTGTTCAACACCATTAAAAACCAGAGGGGAGCATCTGAGCGGACTGGCAGCGGCGCGGCAGGAGCAAGGCTGATGCTCTGGACACGAGACCAGAGACCAGGCTACAACGCAAACGGCCACTGCACGACTGCCAGAGAAGTACTGCATCCTCGTCACGGAGTAAGTGGAAGAAAACTCTGAAAATTCTCTGATTCACTCAGCTGGGGGCAAATGCCCACGTGCTCAGCCAGACCCTGTGCACCCACAGCCCCCTACCAGGTGCCAACCTGCACCCATCTATGTGCTCCCCTGCTCTGGGAAGCGGCTCCATAAAACCAGTGCTGGGAAACACGAGCCCAGGAGAGCAGAGCACGGGCACCCCCAGCAGGAGCTGCTCCCTCCACGGGGCTCCTCAGGAACGACCAGAAGGGTTCAGGTCCTGCCGCCCTTCGCCCTCGCCCGGAGCGACTTCTCACTCCCTGCAGGAGCAGCTCAGTGCCCGCAGCAGCCCTGC